AAATAATACAGCCTGCATCGAAAGTAGCAGATTTATGCGCGCGTATCGAGCTTACATTCACGCGGATACATACATGCATATGTATATTCAAAGCATTAACACTAAAAAAAGAAAAAAAAGAAAAAAAAAAAGGAAAAAAAAAAGAAAAGAAGAAACAGGAAAAAAAAATAATAATCTCGCCAAAACGTATGTGTGTATGTCTCTCAAAGAAATGTATAATAACTTTAATAATTTCATCTCTGTTAAGAAGAACAAATTTTTAAATTAAAAAAAAAAAAAAAAAAAAAAAAAAAAAGAAAAAATACAAGAAGAAAGAAAGAACATGCAAACGAACTATAACGAACAACAAATAAAGAATTAATATGATGCTGAAATACCAAAAAGAAGAAGAAGAAGGAAAAGAAAAGAAAAAACGGGAGAACGAAAACAACAATAATAATAACAAAATAATGTATTATCAAAAGTATAATATGCGAAGATAAACGAAGACTCGAAGTATGACTCAAGATCAAAATATTTGCAAAAAGATTATTGTTATTTTCATTTGCGAGAATCAATTAATGAATAATAATTAATCGATGTGCGTTTAATGCATATACGTATTTATATGATTATGAAAGTGAATTAAGTCGCTTGAGATATTTAAAAAAAAAATTTATATGCTTATATTTATATTTTTCAAACTTTTTTTTTTTTTCTTTTAATCGCACGGAAAAATTATCTTCTTCTTTCACTTACGCTTACTTTTTCTCCGTTTGTCAGATTACAAATAGAAAAATAACTTTTCAATAATTCCAATTTCGAAATGTCAGTATGTATGTGAGTGTAAGTGGGCGCGCGCGCGCGCACACGTATGTGTGTGTAAAAAAATATTTCAAATAGAAAAATATGTAACTCGTAGCACACTTTCATAATCATCAGCTATAATATGATATGCTCTTTTGATGCATATTATCATGATACATATGATGCATAATCAGAGATAAGGAGATATCATCTATTATGCCGACGAATAATTTCAAATTAATGAGAAACAAACGAATGATATAAAATATTAAAACGAAAATGGATTACACTGCAAAATGTTATTAATAAAAATTATTAAATATTGTTATATGCTATGTCATTTTGAAGGAACTAATTAAAATGCAATAATTTCGATTCGATTAATCCCTTCGATGTATATAAAACAATAACAACTCATTATAATATATTACATACTCGTTAATACATATATATATATATATACATATATATATATATATGTATGTATATGGTTAATTTTTTTCTTACAATATTTTATTTATTCATATAACAATAAATTATAAAAAAAAAAGGGAAAAAAAATGACAAATGCAATGTAACAAAATATGGATCCTTTTGATAATACTTGGAAACAAATTGAAAAAGAAAAAAAGAAAAAAAAATAAATAAATAAATAAGAAGAAAAGAAAGAAAACTGATCGACATGCTTCTTACGATTAGAAAAAAACGAACACGATTATGATCACACACGGTAAGGATATCGATTCAGAGTCAATGGACTAAATGAGAAAAGACAAGAATTCAATTATTAAATGTGATAAATCTCATTATTCCAAATATTTATTTTCTAATTTTACTTGTAATATGGAAGGTAATGAAAAGAATTTAATACAAATAAATAAATAAATAAATAATGATAATGATAAAAATAAAAATAATAATAATGATATTAAAAAAAAAAAGAGAGAAAATAACGATAACAACAACAACAACAACAACAACAACAAATAAAATAATATAAAATACGGCATGTGGTGCGAATGATCTATGGTTAAAAATATGGTTCTTGTTGTTGATGCGGTGCCTTCTACGGTCACTGCACAGATATATTTTTTATAAAGTTTTTCTTATAATTTGCAAATCTCATATTCTCGGAAACACTAACACTAAGAGAACAATAAAAAAAAAAATAAATAAAAGACAGAAAAGCAAAAAAAGAAATAATAATAATAATAATAATAATAATGATAATAATAAAAATAAAACCGTAAGAAAGTTCCATCGATTGTGTTCTTTTATTGGTAATGAAAGAAAAGAAAAAAGAAGAAAAAAAAAAGAAGAAGAAAGAAAGAAAAAAAAAAGATAAAAGATGAATAAAAAAAAAAGATAAAAAGGACAGGCATGGGGAATCGTCAGATATCGACACGATCGATGATTAAAAACAATAAATCAATAAATGAATAAATAAATACGTATATACGTAAAAACAAGGCGATTATACAAATAATTAATATAGTCGTTTGAAATGATCTAAACTACATACATACATTCATACATTCATACATTCATACATACATACATACATACATACATACATACATAAATGAATACCATGTCTCTCTGCTTTAAGAATATACAAAACATCCTTCAATTACATAAATAGCTTTATAAAATGGTTATTCCTTCTTTGGATATTTCGTTTTTATGTGTTAAAAAGTATAAACGATAGATAATGATGATAATGATGATGATGATGATGATGGTGATGATGATCATGATGGTGATCTATGTAACTAACGATGATTAGGAAAAAAAAATTTAATATCAAAGAAAGTGAACGATGAACTTAGGAGTGTTGTTGTTGCGACGATCTTAGGCATGAATAGGGGAAAAAAGAGAGAGAAAGAGAGAGAGAGAGAGAAAAAGAAGGAAGAAAAAAAAATTAACTTAATTAGTACAAGGACGAAGAAAAACAGAAATATATTGTAGTTAATATTCTAATATATATATATATATATATATATATATATATATATATATATATATATATATATATCCCTTAGGACGAAATTTAGATATAATAACATTGTCCGTTACCAAATTTATCAAGGCTTTAAAAACTATTATATTATTATATAACTATACTTATATATATATATATATATATATGTATATATATATATATGTATATGTATATATATATATAAAATGAATTAGCCACGTTAAAATTCTGTATATTACTGATTACAGATAAAAAGAAAATTAATATTAATAATAATAATAGTAGTAATAATAATAATAATAATAATAATAATAATAATAATAATAATAATAATAATACTTTAGTATACCTCGCCCATGATCGTGTGTGATCATGTAACCGATGCCATCGCATAAGTTTCACGATAATTTAAATCTCTTGTTCACAACAAAAAGAGAAACGAAAAGGAAACAAACAACAACAACACACGTGTGAGGAGAGTAAAAAAAAAATGAAACTAACTAACAAAACAAAAAGCCCGTAAAATGCAATCGGTAATATATATATATATATATATATATATATATATATATATATATAATATATAAAGAAAAAGAAAGGAAAAAAGCTTTTTCTAACTATTCATAAGTCAATCCTATTTAATCTTTCTTAAAAGGAAGAAAGAGGTTCTTGATAATTATGTGATAGTTATGAACACTTTGAACGCCATTTTGGTGTATGTTATCTATTTACCGTACCGATTGTTTAAGGGCTCTTCGTAGGGATATTATATGAAATAAATTAATTAGATTAATTAGTAGAATTTTAATACTGGCAGTAACATTCTTAGATATTATACATATTTGCTATTTGCTATCATAATAGTTAAAAATTGTTACGTAACGCGTTAATATATTTATAACGTATTCGGGATAATTGTTGAGAGCTCGCTCCGAGATATAATTATACGTTTTTATGATAGATAAACGAAAGAAAGGAAGAAGAAGAAATAAAAAAGAAAAGAAAAGAAAACGTAGAATGGAAAAAAAGAAGAAAAAAAAAAACAAAATAAAAACAAAAAGGTATATCATAATTAGATTGATAGCGTTATATCACGTATATGATTTATTTTATCTCGGTGTGATAGCGAATATCTCATTATAATGATTGTTCATAATAGGACGTATCTCTAAAATACATTCACAGTACTGTCATACTGCCAATTTTATGTGAAATGTTAAAATATAGTTACTAAACGAGAATGTTAAAAGATTATAATGAGAGAGAGAGAGAGAGAGAGAGAGAGAGAGAGAGAGAGAGAGAGAGCGAAACTTTTCAAAAAGTACTTTGTATAGATTGAAGAAAAGGAAAAAAAAAAAAAGAAAACAAAACAAAAAACCCTGTGCTGTGTCGTTATATAAAAATTTTTCGTTTTCGACGTTCCTTATACGATATCATACGTATATGTTGTTAAATCTAAGTTAAATCGAAATACACATTACATTACATTAAATTATAAACACAGATCATTGTCGTTACGATAAAAAGAAAAAAAAAAAAAAAAAAAAAAAAAAAAAAAAAAGAAAAAGAAAAAGAAAGAAAAAAAAAATCATTGTTGTTACGTACAAAGTTTGACTATAGCGTTCTATTAGGAATGTTCGTTAGATAAAAAGCATTAATACATTAACACTGTCGAAATTAAATGTAATTAATAATCCATAATCTCTGTTATGAGATAATGTTAAATAAGATGGAGTCATTAATTGTAAGATTTTTAGCTGCCAGAGAGATAAGAGCAATTCGTTTGTAAACAAAAGGGAATATTTCCATTTTTGTGAATGATTAACTTTGCTCGAAATGAATAAATCAAAGTACTTTGGCGTTATAAAACAATTTGATCGTGTTCGTATATATATATATATATATATATATATATATATATATATATATATATATACAAAATGTCTTTCCAAAACGTTCTTGTTTTACCCTTCAAATTAAATATTATAATTTTTATTTTCGTTTTATTAAAAAAAGAGAAAAAAAAATGAAATAACAAAAAAGAAATGGCATAAAGTTGAAAGATATAAACATCTTGATATATAGTTATAAAGGTAAAAAAAAAAAAAAAAAAAAAAAAAGAAATAAAAACAAACAACAATAATAACAAAAATATTTTACAACCATCTGGAAGTTTCAAAGGACTCCACACCTTCCGCTTTAAGACGATGAAGTATCGGTCGATAAATATCCGGAGTAAATGGTAATAACATACCTCTTTGTTGAATCTCACCTGAAATTTATCATATTAATACGATATAAATCATTATTGATGATATGATTACATTAATAATTACCGTCTAAAATCATTTTAACGGCAATAGCAGCGGGATATCCAACGGTACGAGCCATAGCAGAATGTCCTTTTGCATCGCCATATAATACCAAATTAATTCCTTTAGCTTCTCTTTTATTGTCAGGCCATAATACACCAATGTCGTGTCTCAAAATAACAAGATCTCGTTCGTTCTTTTCGTAATAAAGTTTCTTCGAAAGATAATAAGTCAATGTGTCCAAAGGCGTATTCAATTTTAATACCAAATTTTCTTCTAATAATCCCAAATCCTCGATAGCTTGTACACGTTCCTCCGAATTTACTCTTTCCGCAATTTTTCGTTTGAGATTTTCAAAGAAGATTTTGTCGTTAGCCAATCCAAGTAAATTGCATATTAATACTCTCTGAAATGAATATGATAAGGTTTATAATTACTTATAATTTTTTTAAATAAAAATATACCTTGTTTATACCCATGTAATATCTGGTCCATTTGGATGAAGAATAGGATGAGGATTAGGATCGATAAGTCCAAGATATTGCAATGCCTGTATTGTATCAGAAAATCCTTTGAATCTTAAAGTACCACGTAATACAGTGCTAGCATTCTGAATTCCATAAAGTTCACGATATATAGTACTATCTCGATTAGGAAATCCCTCTAATGCAAATCCAGGAAGAAAGTCTAGAGATTGTACAGCGGACATTAAATCACCGCCACCTGATATTTCTACTTCCTAGAAATGAATCTGATATTGTAATATATGATCTGAATAATTGTCATTGAAAATTATTTACTACGAGCTATTTGTATACCTGGCCATCTCTATGATACTTAGCTGGTGCCAATGTATTTAACAAAGCACCTTTAGGCGACCAGCTGAATTTGTATCTTAAAGGATTAAAAGAGCATTCAGGTGCGGGTAAACCGCCACACCATGAGACAAATGATTCTATCTTTCCGCCAGCTTTTCGTACGTCATCGAAACATTCCAAAGCTAACAAATGATCTATACCAGGATCGAGACCTATTTCGTTCAAAACTGTAATACCTGCAGCAACGGCTCTGAAGAAGACGATATAAACAAGGAAGTTCTTTAAAAATATCAATTGATCGTTAAATCAAAAATACACTTACTCTTCGTGAAGCTCCTTGACATGATCATTCATATAACTAGCTGTTACTAAGTGGGTTTTAGTCTCGATGCAAGTTTTAGCAATAACATGATGCAACGAATAGGGTAATAAAGATACAACAACGTGTGCAGATCCAATAATATCCTCCAAGATGTCTGGTCTCTCAAGAACATTTAAGAACATAGGTTCAACACCAGGAAATCGATTGGCCAATGCATCAGCCTCATCTTTCAATTGAGATACTACAACGATTTTGATACTGTTATCTCTATGAAGATATTCGACGACTGGTGCTGAAACATGTCCAGCCCCTAATATGACAACCTAAATGACAACAAACAAATAAATTCTACATTGGAAATATTTTTCCGTATATTTCAAATATTCTTATTTTACTTTATTAACAATAAATTTCTATTCTTGTTCGATGTTTTCGTCGAACAATTTGATGAATCTATCTTAAACGTACGGATAAACTTATTTACATATATATATATATATAGATAGAGAGAGAAAAAGAGAGAGAGATTACCGTTTTATTTTGTTTATCCCCGTTATCAGCTTTATGTCTACTTCGATGATTCAATTGTCGAAGTTCTTGGATATACTCAAAATTTGGTGTTAATTTTCCATTCGATGCAATTATGGCGTCATTGACGACTGGGCTAAAATTATGTTCCTCCAATGGTTTCTTGGCGTCCGACATTATGACTTCAAGGGCATACGGATACAAAAGATTACCGAAAAAGTCCGTAGATTCTTTGGGAAGTTGCGTTGGCATGTTATCAATCGAACATACTAAGACTCCTGGACCTTTGAACGATTTCGTGTCTTTGTTACGATCAGCGTCATAAAGACAAAATGGTGTATCAATCGTTGTACATTCATTCATGAATCTAAAAAAATTGATAATGACGCGTGATAAATATATTTTTTTTCTATTTTCTTTTTATTATTATTATTATTATTTTCTCTTTCCGAAGCAGTGATATTTATTTGCTTACTCTATACTACCACCGGGATCAGCTGAAATATCACAAATTGCTAACATTCGATGAGGCAAAGCTGGTGCACCAACGCTGATAGGTAACCAAGGTGTATTGGCAGGTCTTAACAAATACTTTGCATCTGGTATGGTCAATAATTTTGGCGAATCAACTGCCCAATAAATACCATTTATTATAACCGAAGTATAAGGTGCTATCTTTTTGCTAAACGTAGATATATATCTATCTGAATGTTTATCGTATTCGTTTGAATCAAAGCCACCGCCATCTTTTCTTTCCAAATGATGCCTCCGTCTTACTTCACAGGCATAAATTTTTGTGGTATCTTAGAAATAAATAAAAAATGATTACAATAAAATAAATATAAATAATATTCATATATTATTATTTTTCTTTTTTTTCTATCATTTACCTCCATGCTCCGCTACTTTTCTAAGCATTTCCGGTGGTACATATTCGTGAGGAAGTTCTTGTAATACTTCTTGGCCCCCTTGACTTACGTTTCCACTACCCGTAAAAACAAAGGTCAAAGGTCCAATAGATTTCGGCATAGCGCCCAATGCTATTTCATATCCAGCATCTCTTATAGATTGTCTTGCCATTGACGAATCTCTATAATTATGTGCTGGTCCGATATGCTGAGAATTTCATCAATTATCAACGATATATCAGATAAAATTTTAATACAATAGCACGTTGAAGGATATACCATAAATGGTGTATGATGACCCAATGCAAGTAATCTAAGCCCTAATCCATGCAATATGTTGACCATACCAGCAACACCAGCGTATTTGCCAAACGCCACGACTCTTTGTCCATTTTGATCAGTTAATTTTTCGTAATCCAATAAACGTATATTTTTTTCCAAAATTGCATCTAACAACGGCATATTATTTTCTTGTGCCTTTATCGTGTGAGAAAAGAAGCAATACGTTTTATTAGGTATCAAATGATCGATCGGTACTTGCTTGACCCCAAAAATGACGGATGCAGAACTGATGTCTTCTTGTATGAGGGCACCCGCTGCCTGATAACTTTGAACCGGATAAGCTCTTCTATTACTAGGTTGGACTATCACTTTTACACCTGCTCTGACTAATCGGCGAACGTTCGATGGTGCCAATGGTGCTCGTCTTTCCCATACTGATTGATCTTCTCGTCTTATCGCTATAACTCTTCCTTTTAGAGTCTAAAAATACATGATTTGTTTAAATAATATATATATATATATTATATATATATATATATATATGTATATATATATATGTATATATATATATGTATATATATATATATGTATATATATATATATATATGTATATATATGTATATCATAAATATAGATTCTCAACTCTCGAATATTTGTTTAGAAAATAATTGATATCTTACACTGGTATCGCGGATGCTGTGCGTTAGAAAACGTTTCAATTTAAAAAGATACTTCTGTTTTAATTTAAAAAATCCTAATATACACATAATATAATATTTTCTTATGATTAACGATATCACGAGAAAAGAAAAAAAATATTTTGCGTCAACGTTTTGCACCATCCATTCACTATTGAAGATATATAATGTATGAAGATTGATCCGACTAAAGAGAAATGTATCCGTTAAATGAAAATATGTTATTAGTTAATAGGGCATTAGCTTGCGTTTCATGAATCGTATCATACTTTGATAGGCTATAGGTCATCGAGTTCATGATAGTAAGTAATAAAATACTGATAAGACAAATGTTACAAATCGCTGATATATAAGTGAATAATAATATAAAAAATAAGTTTTTGGATTTGATAATTCTCATTATTTTTTGTCATTATATTTTTACTTTATTTAATGATAATCATACAATTTATTCTGTAAATTTGTCTCTACAAATTGTTCATTATTTCTAATTTCCAAAATAAAATTAATCTTAATGAAATTGCAGCGTCTGTTATTGTTACTTTAGGCACAATTGAAAAAACGATAAACATGTTTTTGGCATTATAATTTGTTTATTAAAATGTTAAAATATTTAGATTTGTGTCAAATAGTCGAAGCTCACATAGAAACATTATCGCACGTATTTATTTATTCGTACAAGTAACACTTAGGAAGATAAGAAACGAAGTTAATGATGTAACACTTGACAGGATGTATTTTTTATTATTTAATTTGAAACAATGACATTCAACAGAGTAATCAACAAATATATTCATTTTTTAATATGACAATATTCTTATTATATTGTTATAATATTTCTATTTAATATAAGACAAATAAAAATTTCTTTTTCTTTTTATTAGCTATAAATATCAATATATACATATATTAAAAATATAATATAATTTTTTCTAGTCATTAATTCGATTGCGCTTTAATCGACAAATACATTTTATTTTTAATAGTTTGTTTGGTAGGATTAATCTTCTTCAATATTTGAGTCATAATATTAACAAGTTGTTCAGATGTGAGACCAGTCTTTTTGGATTTGAATTTTTGCAAAAGTTCCGTCGTAGTCATCGGTTTACGCATTAAATATCGTCTAACTGCATCTTCAGTGATTCCAGATTCACTGTAAAAAAAGAAAAAGAATAAATAGTCGCTTATCATTCAATTATAAAAATTCAATATATTTATATATATATATATATATATATATATATATATATATATATATATATATATATATATAGAATTTAAATTTAGATGAAAAATTTTACCTAGCCCCTGGTATATAAGAAGTAACTGGAACTAAATTAAAGTTATCCAACTTCAATTTTTTAGCCTGTGATAAATCAGGAGAACCAGATTGTTTTCTCTTAAAGGGATCAACTGCATTGGTTGCTGCTGGTGTTGGTGTTGCAGATCTTGAGCTGTGTGCACTATTTGATTTTTTATTATCTTTTTCTTTTAATGTATCAGATTCTGAACCAGAATCACTTGAAAAGTCACTAGAGGAATCCTTGCCAGGGGCAGACTTTTTCGTATCCTTCTTTTTATTCTGTTTCTTCTTTTTCTTCTTATCCTTCTTACCAACTGGATCTTTATCTTTATCCTAAATGACAACAAACATTTCATTGAATAAAATTAAATATATATCGAACTGATAAAAATAATAATATCTAATAGTCATACCTTATCATCCTTTTCCTTATTTTCTTCATTTTCATCCTTATCTTCATCACCTTCTTTTTTATCCGTTTGTTCTTCGTCTTCCTCGTCTTCGTCAGATGCAAGTAATTTTCTTAAAGCATCCTCTTCTGCTACGGATTTGATTTCCTTCTGTTGTTCCAATTCGGATTCAGAATCAGACGAGTCAGAAATGTAATCGCATTCTCTTCCTTCCTCATCACCATCGTCACTTTCTTCAAATGCTTCGTCGTCCGATGTATTTTTCTTCTTTTTCTTTTTCTGTATCTCCACTGGAAATAAATCAATATCAATTTATATAATTTTTAGTTAAAACGTTTGCATTTTCTTTTTTTTTCCTAATACGTGACATTACATACACTTTCCTTTTTTCTTCTTCTTCGTATTGTCTTCATCCTCAGAACCTTTTTTACTTTGTTCATCACTTAATGAATCATCATCATCACTGTCTATCCATTCATCCATTTCTGATATCTTTAATTCCTTATCCTTCTTACCAGATTTTTTACCTTTACCACCATCTATTAATTCCTCTTCGTCTCCACCTTCTTCGTCATTTCGCAATCTTTTTCGTAACATCAATGAAAAATAATTCATTACTTTGTTCCTACGACTAAATTCCTGTTCCGCTTCTTCGGCACTAAGTGCCTTATACCTTTGAATAGGTTGAAAGTTATACCTAAACATAGAAAAATATAATTTTTTTCTTTTTTTTAATATGAATATATTTATATAAATATATCAATAATAAAAAAGAAGATCTTATACCATTCGTGCAATGGAAATGCTTCAATGGCACCATCGGCAGCATGCGTAAATACATAGTACGCTGCATTTTCACTTATACCACCTTCTCGTATGCCTTTAAATTTTTTCCCCGTCTTTCCACCAGACTTAAGAATCCACGGTTGATCTTCCGGCTTATATTTTCTACTCGTAATACCAAACTTTTTTCTCCTGGCCTCCTCTCTTGCATCTCGTCCAAATTCTGATCCTGCACCAAACTTTGGCATCTCCTCTTCCACCCCTTTATATTCTTTCATATTATTTTCACGTTCCATTTTCACTTGTTTCCATTTGGAAAAATCAACGTTTAATGTTGCATTGAAACGCATAACATTATGCTTCTTTTTACTATTCCTACGAAATAACAAGCTTACAGTTTCAATTGATTATGAGTTTGAATGACAAATAAATGAAAAATTACGTACTTGGGTACTCTTATACTGAATTCTTGTACAGATGGTACACCGGGTGGCTGTAGGGATAAAAAAGAAAGAAAAAGATTAGCAAAAAAAAATAAATATAGAAGGAAAATTATACTTTTTCAAAAATATTTATACAGATTAACGTACCTTTGGTGGTGCAATAGCTGTCATTTTGTTTTCTTAAAATAACCTATATGAATAAAATGAAATAAATATTCTATAAATATGCGGCGATCCAAATAGATTACCAAATGTTAAATTGTTTTCTTTTAAAAATATTTAAGATCATGTACTTCTGATATATTGTTACTATGCAAGTGCAACTGGCACGTGCATACGTCAATGCAACCAAAAGTTAGGAACGTAATAAACGAGATACAACAGTAAGATGATGAACTTACATTTCAACAGGTGGCACTTCCGTCGCTTCAAACGTTTACCTTACTTTAAGAGTGTTCTCATTATTTTCTTTTCGAATCCTATGTGACTTCAGCGATAGACGTGGACAAAATATGAACTACGAATACGAGCGGGAAAATTTGAACTACAAACACTATCCATGAATCTAATATATCGATTTTGTTGATTATTACTCTTTCATTTTAAAGACAATGATTTAATCTAGATCATCCTTTTTTCAAATTTTTGAATATTTAACAAAATTCTTTTGTTTTTTTTTCAGATGACATAAAAAAATTTCTCTCATACATTAATCCTATTGTTAAAAGGACTACGTTAGAAGGATATAACCTATACAAATTTATACATCGATATAAATAGAGGGGTCAACGTTTCTCTATTACTCCTGTAGTTCATATTTTATTCGTACATGGCGCTAAAATCGCATACATTAGAATCTTTTGATAGTGAACAGTGTTATAACGCGTTATAATATATTATAACATTAGAATTGTATTTTAGACTTTAGTGATAATTTGTTTAATATCGTATATGATAAATTTTGATAAATGATAAAAAACCTTATGTATTAATAATAATTATATATATATACATGTATATATATATATATACATATAGTTAAAATATTTTCATTTTGTATGAACAATAATCTGAATTAATTAACGCTATGAAGGAATTACGGCGTAGTGAAAAGCTTAGGATTAAAAATATTATAGTATGATAGATATTGCTGTTTATTTAATTAAAAGAGATGTATGTGAATTATATTCTTATCGTGTAACGATCATCAATTCTAATCTCCTTTACGTACATATGCCAACAATTGTGCATTCTTGTATATAACCTTTCGTCTATAACGATATAGAATTAATAATAATTTATCCTCAACCTTTGTCATCATGATTAAGGCCATTTTAGTTTTTAATAATCATGGAAAGCCACGACTTTCAAAGTTTTACCAATACTTCGTAAGTATATATAAATTTTTGTTTTTACGATCGATATACGATTTAGATTCATCGGTTATTTAGATTATTTAGATTCCAATCGGTTATATGATTGCAACATTATTAATTTATTTTGTTTTTTTTTTTTAGAATGAAGATATGCAACAACAGATCATTAAAGAAACGTTTCAACTTGTATCAAAAAGAGACGATAATGTTTGTAACTTTTTGGAGGGTGGTAGTCTAATAGGAGGATCCGATTATAAATTAATTTATCGCCATTATGCCACCCTTTATTTTGTATTTTGCGTTGACAGTTCTGAATCAGAACTTGGTATTCTAGATCTGATACAAGTTTTTGTAGAAACTTTGGACAAATGTTTTGAAAATGTGTGTGAACTCGATCTTATTTTTCACGTTGATAAAGTTCATTATATACTTAATGAATTAGTGATGGGTGGTATGGTATTAGAAACTAACATGACAGAAATACTAACAAGAATAGAGGATCAAAACAAATTGGAAAAACAAGAGGTAAGTTCTACAATTGTAATATTTATTTTATCTAATCTTTATAAATATATTTTTTTTTTGCTTAAATTACTAAACAAATGCTTTGCTAATAATATGAAAATACAGTTTTACCACATAATGCTTTTTAAATTGATACAAGATAAATTATTTAACATTACTTATGTCATCTCTTAAATATTATATATTCTTTTCTAAATAGCTAAATAATTTAATAAAATATTAGAATATATATATTTATACATACATACATTCATACACACATATATATATATATATATGTATTCTATAAATATTCAGTACGGATATTTAATTAAAAGAGTAATATTTGTTAGAAACTTATTACAGATAATAAGTTTATTTGTTTCATTCGTTGAATTTTAAATCATTAAAGTAAATGTACAAGATTTTCAATTTTCCTTTAGGCCATTAACATCTTAGAATATATTTATAAGAATATAATAAGCAAATGAATAATTGAAATAACAAGTAAATGTCATATTAACCAAGCTTCGAACATTTAATTACTTGTAGTAATTTGTTTGATTGCTAGCTGTGCATGTTTGGTATGCTCCGTAAAGCAGTTTCATGTGGTGGTAGGACTGATCAACCTAACATCAATTTTAGGGGACTTACAGATCAGGACGATCTTGCTCACCTCGTCCGTTTGTCCTTCTGGGGCCCCCTCCTTAAGTAAATCAGCAGTAGACAATCTGGCCACTTTAAATAAATTCAGTCCTATGTACAATTGTCTGTGATTTCTTCTCTCTCTCTCTCTCTCTCTCTCTTTTTTCTATTTTTTTTTCTTTCTTTTTTTTCTCTATCTCTTTTTTTTTCTTTTTTTTTTTCTCTCTCTCCTTTCGTTACTAAGAACTTAAAACATAAATCTTTTTCATAGCTTCATACAATCGCCGTTCATAACACGCATGATAATACTATTGTTTATAAATGTCTGCTCCATGACAGTGCCTTCTTATTGCAATTGTATACGTCGCAATAATACATAAATAAAATATGTATTGTGTAGCTATTTATTATTTGTCTTCACTCCTGGAAATGAATTGTTATCGATTAATCCCAAGAATTTGCCCATTTTCCATTTTCTCCATCCATATAATGTGTGCAGGCGGGAATCATAGCTGCGCCAGCGCGTGCTGTATCGGCGGTGAAGAATATGAATATTCCTCAACAAATAAAGGATATGAAGCTACCTGATTTACCGCAAGCAATAAAAGATCTCAAATTCTGACCAGCCGTTACATCGTTGGCTCCCAGCTGACTGCTTTCTTCTACCAACCAAGGTACAAGCGATAATACTACAAGGATAGTCTTTCCTTCCCTTCGAGTGAATGAAAATGCACCAATGTTGCCCAACACCTCGTACACCTCGTCTCAACGATATCAGAGTTAAAGTGTATAAAGAACTATTTAAACAGTTGTCTTCTTTGTGCTGAAAAAACAAAAACAAAAACAAAAAAAAAAGAAAAAGAAAATGTTTCCAACAAAGGAGAATATTATGAATCGATCAATTTCAGATCAATTTTTACATTGATATCTGAAAGAAAATTTCTCACGTAAGTTGTAAAGAAAAATCAAAGAATACATTTAACGTTTTGCGGACAAAAGAGAACAGACATAATTTATCTCTCTATATTTCGGAAATATAGACTGTTCAATGTTGTTCCTGTATAGTTAAATTAAGATAAATCTATGTTACTACATACCAATATTATTGCATTTCTCCCATTATCCATAATAATGAACTTATGATATTTTGTTTATTAAAAACACAACACTCCCTTATATTGTTATTAAAAATCATTAAACATTCGTGTTATAATGTAATAAAAGTATATTTAATAAATATTTCTCTGACATATCTTAAATTTTTATAATATTTGCCGTTTGTTGTTAGTGTTTATTTTGTTTTATGAAATAAAATTCAAAAGGAATAGAAGTAAACGGTATACAATTAATTGGCATAGGTATTTACAGTTATAGACAAAACTTTATCTAAGAACAAATAAGATCTTTTTTACTAAGGACATTATCATTTTTTAAATGTATTTATCTCATTCCTCAAAGTTGTCCATACGTATCCAACACCTTTCTCCAATAATGGCGGAGGATATGGAGTATTTTTAAGTTTATAATAATCCGATGGCGCGTGCATAACAAATTCCATGCATTCCAATTTACGTGGCAAATCTTCCTCTGGTCCGACTATATAAGTTTCCGGACAAAATCCTTCTTCTGGCGGTGGACTATTATAATTAATAGTTAATCTTTTAATTTATTTCAAGGAACAATACGTATTATGTAATACATAATAATAATAAAAAAAAAAAAAAAAAAATACTTTTATATATACCTTGCAGTGGTTGGCAAAAGCCAGGTTACGGCTGCGCTCTTTTCGCAATACTGATCGGTAAGTAATCCACGTATTTGGGCATAATAAATTCCACCGTCGATGTCCTGCATGGAAACTATATCGCCGACTTGAAAATAAGTACCTTTATAGAAGACAAAATTGCTGGTGACCGGAGTTGCTGTGGCAGTAGGAGCTTTCACTGGCTGGATACAACGATGGAAGATATATATTTAAAAGGTGTACTTAAAAAAAAAACATATTAATTAATATTATAAATTTGAACAGATGGAACTATACCGTTTTTTTAAACAGATTTCGCCTCCCTTTACCCTTTGGAACAATCTTATGTGGGCCGCTTGATTTCGAATTACAATACCTCGTGATCCTTGTACTTCGTCTAATAGGTTTTAACGTTCCACTTTTGTCGTCATCCTCGTTCTTCGTTTCACCATTAGCTTCGGCGGATCTTTTTTTCTCCAGACAATCATTGCATAGATTACCGGATTCGGTGGAGTGCCAAAGTGGTGTTTCCTTAGTCCCGCAATTAACACACTCAGGTTTACTACCGAGAGGCATCAGATTCCAATTTTCAATTCTTATTAATTATCGATCCATTAAAAGGTAGCTGACAAAAAAACTTTTTCCACCTGCACTCCAAAGTTTTCGTCCAATAGCTTTGTTGATGATTTTCCTCGGCTGTCATTTCGAATATTATTTACACGTATACAAGTAAATAAATGAACGTTCGTACGTATGTATATGAAATCTATGATAAAGAAATGGAAAAAAGAAGAATAGATGCAGTACGATTCATGAAGAACGAATGATTACAATCCATGAAATATCTATCATGGCGCCACATACAAACGTTATTTCGAATTAATCGCAAAATAAAAATTAACGGATAACAATTGTATAACATCAATTATGAAATATTTTTATTTTATTCGATTAAATATATTCAAGATCCTTTGAGAATTTATTAAATTGACAAAGCAAAAAAAAAAGAAAAAAAGAAAAAAAAAAAAGAAAACAATTTTTACTTACCAATAGAAAGAAGAGAAATCTATTTTATCGACGATAAAAAAACAATTCTAAGCGACGACAGTGCGCCTCTATACGTATATACATTAGTTATCTTAATAATACGACGAACCAACTAGAAACTAAGAGAGATATTTTCAATTAAAAAAGAAAAAAAAAAAAGAAAATAATAATAATAATAATAATAAATAAATAAATAAAAAAAAAGCAAAAATATTCTTCCTCGACAATATATTACAAATGTTAAATATTCACGTAATATATCAAATATAATGAACACGAACGGAGAGATAATATCGTTATCGATCGTTATTACTGTGATAAAAAAAAAAGGGAAGAAAGACAAAAAGGAAAGAGAAAATAATAGAACAATGAAGAAGAAAAGAAGAGGAAAAAGAAAAAGATGAAGGAGAAAAAATAAATAAAAGAAGAAAAAATAATGAAGGTTCCGAGAAAACAAATGTGTATCCGATGTTTTGAATGAAAACACTGTCCGTCGGTAATGTGTATTGAAAAAAAGAAATTATAGTCGAAGCTATTCCACTACTATTTCCTCCTCTGTATTATCGATCTGGTTCGGTCCGATGTGGACATGCGTTTAACGTTATAACTTCATTGTGACAAATGCCCTGTTCGGGGTATCCTGTTTTTTTTTGAGTGTTCATCGTTCGGATAAATTTTTTCATTGATTCAAATAAATTCTAGAATATTATCGTCGTCTAGAACGCAATGTAAAATCCGATTTGTGATGATGGACGTCATAAAAGTTCATTGATCGAACAACGAATTATTTCTCTCTCTCTCTCTCTCTCTCTTTCTCTCTCTCTCTCTCTCTCTCTCTCTCTCTCTCTTTCTCTCTCTGTCTATCTCTCTATCTGTCTTTCTCTCTCTAGTGTCTGCAACATGTGCCTTTTCTATCTGTGAGTAGAAAATATTTATTTATATATATTTAAATATACATATATACATATATATACATATATTAAAATTGTTCAATTGAATAAATCTCTTTCGTGTTTTTTTGTTGTTATTATTATTACTCGATTATTATTACTCGATTATTATTATTATTATTAATTTTTTGCTTCCCTCTTTTTCTTTTTCATTTTTATTTTATTTTAATTCTTTTTATTCTTCTTTATGTTTCTCATCCTTTTTCTCAAAAATTTAATCGGTAATATACGATTAAACATTTGTTTCGACTAATGTAGTCGGAATAAAATTTCTAAAATACATAATTTCTATATATTTGTTAGCGTAATATATATAAAACATTCTGTTATTATTAATGTTATAAAAACAAAACAAAAAATCATAAGTATATAATTAGATAAAAAAAAAGTATCGAAATTTTTAATAATACCATTATACAGAGGTACGAACAATTAATGCCAATGATCAGTTTGTAACATTATCGTTGATAGCTTAAATCATTTTTCGAAAATCCTATGTATATTCTATACCTTTGATTTTTTTCTTGTTCTTATATATATATATATATATATTTTTTTTTTTTATTAATTATTATATCTTTTTTTTCTTTGCAGAAAAATTAACTATGTGTTATTTGTTTCTTCGACATATTTCTTTCTTTTTTTTTTCCTTGATTTTTCTTTCTCTTTCTTTTTTTTTCATAATACTTACGATATATATGTATGTATATATATATATATATATATATATATATATATATATATATATATATACATAAAAGAAGTTTATATATAATGATCGATATATTACATGTTACACGTCAGCGATGTATCATGACATTGCATGTGTTGTTATTTAAGTTGGTATATAGATTTAAATCGGATATTATAAGTGAAATAATGAAAAGTAAATTGTTTTATATAAATAATTTTCAGAAAAAGAAAAAAAAAAGAAATTATATATATTTATATATATATATATATATATATATATATATATATATATATATATACGTAAATAAATATTTATGTAGAAAAAAATTTATCAAATTGATCGAAGAATTATAAATAAAAATATACATTTAAGAGAGAGATATATGGTAGCTGATTTTGTTTGTTTTTTGTTTTAAATATTTATTGTGACTCTTGATCATTCGCCTAATATTTCTCTGCTATTTTTCTTTTATTATTATTATTATTATTATTATTATTATTATTATTATTATTATTATTATTATTATTATTATTATTATTATTATTATTATTATTATTATTATTATTATTATTATTATTATTATTATTATTATTATTATTATTATTATTATTATTATTATTATTATTATTATTATTATTATTATTATTATTATTATTATTATTATTATTATTATTATTATTATTATTATTATTATTATTATTATTATTATTATTATTATTATTATTATTATTCTCATTTATAATGATCAACGATAAGGATCGAGGCTTTAAAAGTCTTTAGTTGAAATACTTTATTACGCTTCCCACCTGTAGAACAGATAGTCGATTTCATTCTCATTCATTATTGAGACATACAAGTACATACTCGTGAACCTTTCGATGTGTTAAGGTTAGAGGTCGTTAGAAACATTATCATATTTTTATTAGAATTTCTTTTTTCTTTCAACTTTTTTTTCTTTTTTTCTATTCGAATATTAATTATTTCATTAATGTATATATATATATATACATGTATATAAAAATCTTAAAAATATTTTACGGTATTAATAAACTTTAATTTGCAACAAACATGGACATAGACATACACACACACAAAATTCGAATTATTTTTCTGTTTAGTTAAAAAATTTTTCTTTTCTTTTTTCTGCTTAACTAAAAAATTGTACAAAAAATATATATATTTATTTTTTCTTTTATTAATACAAATTTATATTTCATCGCACGTATTTTATTTACAATAATGATTGCGTTGATATAGATGATAAAAAAAAAAATACGAATTAAAAGGAAAGAAAAAGAAATTGATAAAATTACAATGAAATTTTGTTAATTTCCTTTAAAATTTATCATACGACAGAATTTCAGTATCTTTTATGTCTTTAACTCGTATATATTTCGCGTATCCTTCTTGGACAATTGATTTTCTCTTCTTTTAATAATTCACGACATGCGTACAACATTTATCCGGTATAATGAAGCTAGAAACATTATTTGATAGAATCATAATGCGTCGTTATGAGCATCAATCGTCATTCAAGACAGGGTAGGTCAAAAGTGTTTTTTTTTCTTTCTTTTTCTTTTTTTTTTTTTCTTCTTTTCTTTCTTTTCTTTTTCTATTGTGACTTCGTAAATGTCAATTGTTATTTTTCGAAACGTTTCAGTACTATATATTATTATTTATATTATAAAATTACAAATCTAATCGTAAGATTAGAATCTCTCTCTTCAAAAAAAATCTGATTGATTTTTACAATCAATATTATTAATAAACTGGCTACGAATAAATTTCAATTATATAAATAGAGATACGTTGATTAATGATTTTAATGATCATCCATTTGAAATTATAAACGAACGAATATAATCATGAATTTAGTGAAATCAAAAAATGTTTGAAATAAAAAAATAAAGAGAATGAAAATTAAAAGTATGTCGTAATAATAATAATAATAATAATAATAATAATAATAATAATAATAATAAATAATAATAATAATAATAAATAATAATAATAATAATAAATAATAATAATAATAATAATAATAATAATAATAATAATAATAATAATAATAATAATAATAATAATGATGATGATAATGATAATGATAATGATTTAATTTTTAATTTAAGGTAAGAATCCCGTCTCGAATAAATAACGATGACTGCCATGATCGAGGACATACAAGCTCTACAAACTCTAACGATTCATACTAGCGACGTAAATAGCGTCGATTTTGCTGGCGATTGTATCCTGGTAACTGGATCGGGGTAAATAATAGTTCACTTTTCATCAATATTTATACTTATATACATTCCTATTTATTAGGAATGTATATAATATGTATATAATTTATATAGGAATTATATAACACAACAAACATATTATTAATAATAATAATAATAATAATAAGAAGAAGAAGAAGAAGAAGAAGAAGAACGAGATAACATAATAAATTATTTTTATTATTTATTAGGGATAAACGTGTAAGAGTATGGGAATGGCAGAATGGTACAGGCTATGTCGAAGCTTTCTTTTCACCACTTTTAGGTCACAAATATGGGGTAACTTCGGTTAAAGTTAGTCCACAATCGACCATGTTAGCTTCTTCTAGTATAGATGGTACTACATTGCTATGGAATTTAAGGGTAAGATATTTTTATGTATTTGAATTTTTTTTTTATTGTTTTCTTTTCTTTTCTTTTTTTTTTTTTTTTGTTTTTCTTGTACAATATTTTTAACGTTACCAATTGACGCGACAATAAATGAAACAAGCTGTGAATAAATTTTATCGATTATCCTATATTATTAATACCAAGTAAAAATCTTTAATTTGTCTTGTATGATTTAATGTTTTTTCTTTTTCTTTTCTTTTTTTTTTTTTTTTTTTTCCTTTTCTTTGAACAAAAAATATTTCAGTTTGGATAATAAATTTGATGATCATTTTACATGAGAACAAATGAAAATCTTTTTAAAACTCTGTTTTATGCATTAAAGACGGGAACGAAGATACACACGATGGTACAAGTTGGCGGAGAATCCGTAAGAATTTGCAGATTTTCTCCGGATTCAACATTGTTAGTTACAGCTGGAGATAACGGACAAATTTGTCTTTGGGATTTGATACATCGTACTTTGATCAGGCAAGATCTTCTTACGTGTCCATGATCGTAAATAATTTCTCTTAATATAATAATATCATTGTCATTATTTTTTCTTTCACTTTTCTTTTTCTTTTTTTTTTTTTTGTTTTCTTTTTTCTTTTTCCTTTTTTGCCTGCAGATCATTTCAGAAACACGAAAGTGCCGTGCAGGGAGTATGTTTTACACCCGATTCAAATTGGTTACTCACAACTTGCACATTCGGCGTTATGAATCTATTCTCCACAGCCGAAATGATTGATCCTAGCGTGTCTAATAGTCAATCAGTAACCGTGTTTGCCTCGATAGACGACGCTCATGATCTTGGTGTAGTGTCTTGTGATTTTTCAATCTCACAAGAGGTAACGGGTACAGGTAATATGTCTATTTATTATAAAATAACTTGTTGGACATTTGTAATTAACAAATGTCTTGATATTAATTGTTTATACTCTAATAATATAAAGGTAATGAGTCATTTACCAAAGTTTATCAATTGGTTACCTGCGGCAATGATCACAACGTAAAACTTTGGGAGGTCATTGTGATTCAAGAAAAATCCGAAGCCCAGCCAAATTCTGCCACTATAAATCTTTACAGGGTAATGGAAAAGCACAGCAGTGCCTTAACTTGCGTAAGATTTAGTTCCAACGGATTATACATTGCTAGTAGTAGTCTTGATAAAACATCAATAATTTGGGAGACGGTAAGTAAGTTTATATAAGTAAGATTATCTAATACGACAAACACACGCGCACATATAATTACAGAATAAATAAATTTCTATGATCGCAGAATACAGGAAAAATACGTAACGTGTTAGCGAAACACAATAGATACGTCGCGTGTTGCGCTTTTTCGAGAGATGGAAATCTTCTTGCAACTGGTGATTTTTAATTTAATTAAAATTTTGAATTTACAAGAGCAAAAAAAAAAAAAGAAAAAAAAAATAAAAATAAAAAGATATATCCACGAGCTAATTGATCAATCGCAATGTCATTCTCTAATGCTTTAGGTTCTAACGATAAGTCAGTTATTGTGTGGGATCTAACAGGACACCTAACTATCGATTCTGAACTTATACGACACGGTGTTCCTAAGTTATTATTAAGTGAACGTGGAAAGGTAGGTAAACTTGTTTGATATAGACTTATGATGCTTAAGGTCACGATGATTCATTTATTTTATTAGAATGCTATACACGAGCACGATGTAGTACAGAATGCGGAATCATCTGGGAACGAAGTGAAATTAATTCAGAGGATTGACGATCATGGTGGGGCGGTCAATGGCGTTGCTTTTTATGGGAATCATTTGATAGCTTCTGTTTCAGGGTTTGTTCATGAATATTTATGTCTTGTAAAGAAAAAAAAAAAAAAAAAAAAAGAAAAAAGATCCCTTTGATAATCGAAGTTTATTTTGTTAATTTAGGGATAAATTGGTACGTGTATGGGGTATTGAAAAAAATGAGGAAGACGAGGAGGATATGAGATTTCAAGAGAAATCTTTCAGTCCTTTGGAAGGCCATAAGTATAGCGTAAATTACGTAGAATTTAGTCCTTGCGGTACGATGCTTGCCTCGTGTTCATTGGACGGTACCACAATAGTTTGGAACACTGAGGTAACTTAAATAGACTTTTTTCCTTTATTCTAATAACACAAATTGATTTCATTAAGATAATGTTTATCTTGATCATTGTCATAGAACGGTGGACATGCAAGAGGATCGTTCGTTAATTCTGGATCGGGGCTTCGCGTTTGTCGTTGGTCTCCAGATGGTACCAAAATAGCAACAGCTGGGGACGATGAAAAAACAACATTATGGAACATGGATAGTATGGAACACTTACAGTATGTTTATTTAAAAAGAAAAAATTAACAATTCGATATATTCTTTATGGATATTACATATCTACGCGATATCAAAGATACTAAAGATACTATCGTGTGACTTAAGATTATCTTTTAGAATTTTCGAAGGTCATGCCGATGCGATTACATCTATAGCGTTTACCCACGATTCGCGTTATTTGGCAACAGCTTGTAACGAGGGTACATGGAGATTGTTCGATATTCTTAATGAAAAAACAGAATCAGCATTATTGGTTTGCGACGAAGCGCATGATTTGGGTGTACAAGGATGCGACTTTAGTCCAACTGGTTCTATAGGCGCTAGTACGTTTTAATAAATGATGATTGTATTATAAAGAGAAAACATAAAAACAATTTTTTTTTTCTGTTTGATTGACACATCTGTTTGATGTTTTCTTTTTCCTTTTTCTTTTTTTTTTTTTTTTTATTCCTATAGGAGGTGACTCTAATTTGAATAACAACAAACAGACATATCTATTAGCGACATGTGGAAACGATTCTCTCGTTAAATTATGGCAATTAACTATTTCTAATAAGGAAGATGATTCTATAGATTGTATGGGAACAAGCGATTGTAATATTAACTTCAAAGAAAAAAGAACATTCGCCGGTCATGGTGGTAATGTTATGGACGTACGTTTCTCTCCGATTCATGGAGAAATTTTAGGAAGCGTTGCTACCGATAGGACAGCACGTATATGGAGCATCGTAAGCATATGAATATTTCTATTTATAATATTAATTAATCTATTTATCTTATTAAAAGAAATAAGATTAATGGAGCAAATATGTTTACAGTTTTCCGGAGCTTGTTTATACGTTCTCGAAGATCACGAAAGTCTCGTAACGTCATGCGCATTCTCCGAAGATACATCTTTATTCATTACAGGTTTGTTCTGTTTTGTTTTTCAAATGTTACGTTACGTTCTATTGCATAAACGTGTATATATACATACCTATTGCACAAGTAATTACAACCAAACTAGTACTTCACATTGTGAATCGTATTCTATTTTTAGGCTCATTAGACAAGACCGTTTTAGTATGGAGGATACCTCATCAATTGGTATCTCAAAGTATATTGATCGATAGTTTAAAACAAAATAGAAAAAAGGTAAAATATAAATGCGCCCTGTTGAAATTTAAAAGAAAAAAAAAAAAATTTAATATCGTGAAAATTTTAGTTAACTGATTGGAGGATCGACGACACTTTGAAATGGTTGAATGAAATAGGATTATCAAAATTAATGAAAAGAGCTCATACATGTGTATTAACGGGACGACAATTGTTGAGTATTCCGGTCCATGAATTATTAATTAAACTCGATCTCGAGAACGACGAGGAGGTATACAAACTCTCATTTTAATTTAATGACAATAAAAATTCAACGATCGTGCGTTTCTTTCTTTTTCTTTTTTTCATTTTCTTTTTATTATTAAATATTATATATTTGATTTCCAAAGATGGCCGAAATATTCAAGAAACAATTGTACTGGTTAAAAAAAGAGGACGCTAATGCAATGGAGATCTCGGACGAAACAGAAATACCCTATGAATTTTTATGTCCCATAACACACGAGATAATGAAAGAACCAGTTCAATGTTCAGGTATATTAATATTATTAATTTTTCATTATAAATCAAGTATCATTATAATATAACATTTGAATAATTATATATTATGTTAGATGGATTTACGTATGAGAGAGCGGCCATAAACGAATGGTTCTTGTGTGGTAAATATACAAGTCCGATGACGAATGAACCATTACACGATACTACTTTTACACCAAACATTAATCTGAGAAATGCAATATGTATACTTCTTCATGGTAACGAGCCGGAATAATATATTTTTAAGATAAATCAGTTCTGTCAATAATCTTTGAAAAGATAAATTCTAATTCTTTTTATTATTAGCTGAGTATATACATATACAAGCATTTACACATAATCTAAAAAGACGAGGATACAATACACATAATGTATTTACATCATATATGCTGTTAGTGGACCAATCGTATTATACATTGTACAATAAGCAAGTCTTGAAATATTTTCAGTTGTTATAAACTTATTCTAATCTTTATTAATTATGTCAATATGCATTTGTATTTTTATATTGTTATTATGAAATACGTTAAACGTATTTTACTGAAGTATTATTGGAAAACAAAAGATATAGAAAACATATAGAAAAATCAAACATGATAATCATGATTACATCGCCTGTGTGTATATATGTATATATATATACACAGTAATTATATTGCAAAACTAATAAGAGCGAAATGGTCCACAGTATAATTCATTATGTATAGTATCATAAAAGGAAACAATATGTAAATGATTTAGGATTTCATTTACGAAAATATAAAAAGAATCAATGAAGACTCATAAAATATAAGATGATACTATCATAGGATATATCCTATGATACTATCATAGGATATACATACATAGAAAATATTATAAACATTGATAATAATATGAGTATGTTATGTATATTTTATGAAAATATGATACACTAGCATGCATATATATACATATAAATATATATATATATATATGTGTATGTATGTATATGTATATATAGTGACCTGATGTACAGGAATAGTACAATTTCATATTAATATTATCGACAATCTTCGTGGATTAAAAAGGACAAGAAAAATTGTACCAACGTATATGCACTTATATGTTGTATTATCTCTGAGCGCGTATATATTATACATATCGAATCGATGAGAATTTTGTAGAAGTTGTAAACACAAGTAAAACTACATGATGATGATGATGATGATGATGATGATGATGATGATGATGATGATGATGATGATGATGATGATGATGATGATGATGATGATGATGATGATGATGATGATGATGATGATGATGACGACGAAGACAACGGCAATGATGTTATTCGTTAAATTTTAAACTTCTTAAAGTGAAAATCTATCGAAAACAAAGTTTTGGTAAATGTTTCACTAAAATCTTCACACATAAACGATTTTTATATAACGTATATAATTAACGTCACGTTTTTGATATTTATGCAATCTCTGAAGGATATGCATACTCATATCTTGTATAGAGCCATGTATTATTACATAAAATTATTAGTGAATTACTAATTTTTTTAGTGAATATTTTTTTTTCTTATTTGAACGTTAAAAATGATAATAGTTACGTACTTATATTGTACATACCTAAACTACATACATACATACATATTTAAAATGATTCAATTCAACATATTTGAATATTAAAGAATATATATATATATACATATATATATATATATATAAAAATTTGTATGTATATTTCTGTGATAAAATATATTAATTCGGTTGAATTGTTGTTTACGAGAGATATAATCAAAGAATATGTTTGCGATAAAATAATATAAATTGTTAATTTTATTAATATACATATATATACATATATATAATTATGTACAATCGAGCTTTGTTAATGTTACGATATTATGTTATTACTATGGCGTGCTCATTGTACGGTTATCACTAATAAATACACAAAATTTCCACCAATAAAAATATAATTGATAATATTCATTTCAAAATTAAATGTTAAAAGGAAAAAAAGACAATGGTTCGTGGCGGAGGGGCAGAAGGGAGAGGAGATTCGAAAGAACCGCCATAAGACCTATAAAATTGTGATCCTATTGGTTGTCGTCTAGATGGCGCTATATTCAATTGTTCGATTTGTAAACGTAGATTGTAATAAAGAAAATTAAACGTAATGAAATATTATTATCAAAAATTTAGAAAAATCTTGTCGGATCATTGAATTAAAGAATGATTTTAATTCATTGAAAGATATTAAGTTAAAAGTATATTTATTTTCACGAGTGATAGGGGAAAAAACAAAAGATTAGCAGAGAAAAAAATTTTAAACGTTCGTGAGTCACTTCCGTTTTGTGGGTAGAGCGACTACGTCACCATATGTGACGCTGCTGCATGTAGAGAGACGATCGAAAAGAAACGAAGTTTGGCACCGCCTGTTGACAGGATACGTGTGAACGTCGCTCTACGTATTATAACGCGAGTGTTTAGAAATAATAATAAGAAAAAAAAAGATATATCTATATATATATATATATATATACATACATAATACATATATATATACATACGTATACGTATACACACGCAGAGAGACACACGAACACAGGAGATACACATAAAAAAAAAGTAAAAAAAAAAAAAAGAAAAAAAATAAAAATGGTAAGTCGTATTTATCTTGAGAATTTTCGTAAGTTAGAAAAACGTTGACTCAAAAGATCACTCGATAAAACGAATCTAAACTTGATCTGAACGTGTCGTTTCTGTGTTCTCAGGCATCTTACTCGGAGGATCAGCTGGCAGGTAAGTGAACGGTGTATCCCGAACAAGTAGAGAGATTAAAGAGGGGTACTCGCTTTTTTCTCGATCTTTAATTCAGGTCAAGAGTATCCTTGCCTTTTTAGACACACCCCGTTTGCCACGGGCTACTCGTATCGAGGACTACCTTTTATGGTTCTATCTTTGAAAGCGAGAGGCGTCCAATCGTTTAAAGATCATTCCGGCAAAGATCGTTCGCACTTTTATCCACTTTGTTCGCGGATTTAATCTCGTTCGAACGTCTCTCTCGGTATCAACGTTACTTTCTTTCTTCATTCTCTTTTTCACTTTCTATTTATCTTTTGGAATAAAGTTGATACGATCATTAGTAATATCATTAGAAATAATAGAAGAAATATATTCTTTCACTGCCTTTCCGTTGGATTACTTTTGATTTTTTTTTGTCTTATATTAACTTATTTTAAAATGACAATGATTCATGTATATTAGTGATAAGAAATAAAAGAACATTCAATGTAATTGAATCTTTCAATAGCTATAGTGAGTTTTAAAATACGTTAAGTTCAATTGATTAGGCAGAATGTATGGATACAGTTATCAGGAATTGACTAATAGGATGATGTCATCTATGGAGGGTAATTAGATTTTATATTATTTAAAAGTATTGTATGATTTGGCCATTACTTTTGTTTGATAACATTGAGAAGAAATAAGTCATTAGAACAAATAAATTTTATATAGATAATAAGATAGTCTAAACTTATCTTAGAGTTTCAGGAAGCATTTCAGCTCTTTGATAGCCGTGGCGATGGAAAAATTCATGTCGCTCAAATTGGTGATGCATTGCGTGCACTTGGACAAAACCCTACGGAATCGGATGTAAAGAAATTCACTCACCAACACAAACCAGATGAACGGATTAGCTTCGAAGTATTTTTACCAATTTATCAAGCCATCAGTAAATCCCGTACGTCTGATACAGCTGATGATTTTATCGAAGGACTACGTCATTTTGATAAAGACGGAAATGGTTATATATCGTCTGCCGAATTGAGACATCTTCTAACAACATTGGGTAATTAAGGAATAAAACTTATAAATTAGTGATATTCTTAGTGATATTCTCAGCTTTTTACAAAAAGCGGATGTAACAGGTATCTACATCTTACCCTGCAGGTGAAAAACTAAGCGACGAAGAGGTAGAAACGTTACTAGCGGGCCACGAGGACTCACAGGGTAACATTAATTATGAAGACTTTGTCCGTCAAGTGATGTGCGGATAAATAGTTACTTAATTTTGTACATGAAGTTATTAACATTTAATTTTTATAGTTCTCAAGTCTATTCAAACTTTTACTTTGGAAAACCTTCATATCATAGCGTATGCGTATAAAAATTTCTCTTTAAAGAAACTAATGCTACGTATCACATATTTTGTTATATATCATGGGGAGAAAACTAACCATTTCATGTAAGATTAAATATTAGTTAACAAATGGTAGAGATAAATGAAGATCTAGCGCATCGTGCCTTGACCTACTCCAATTTACGAGCATTTAGTGATATTGAGAGAAACACAAAACGGTAGATTGTGCGAACGAACACATTATAAGAATTTGACGTTTCCTTCACAATTTCATGAAGTTACATTGAATTTTTCATCAAATTCCTACAATTCTGAGCCATCGATAAAGAGAATATAATACAATTTCTTTATTTGCATTTATTAGCTCGCTATAAAAATCCATGCGCCGCTTTTACATAACTATGATAAAAAAGTAAAAAGGAAGAAGAAAAAGAAAAACGAAAAGAAGAATAAAATTGTCATTTTATATTTACTTATTATATCTAATGTAATTTTTATTTTCTTAAATGCTATAAAAAGAAAGTAAAAGAAAAAAGAAAAGAAAAGAAAAGAAAAAAAGGAAAAAGACAAAAAGGAAAAAAAAAAATTAATGAATAAAACGCTGTATGTTAAGATATAAATAAATAAATAAATTTACTCTATAATTATTTTAGCTTTATAACGTACGACATCCTTAGTGGAATAAACCGATTAAAGTAAAGCCGATGATTATGATTGAATCTTTCATAGCGGTCACACAGTAATAAATCTGACTAATAGAGAAAATATAAGGGAAAAAAAAATTGTTTCTCTCTCTCTCTCTCTCTCTCTCTCTCTCTCTCCTCACTCTTTCTCTCTCTTACTCTTTCTCTCTCTCACTCTTTCTCGACTAAGGGCGCAAGCGCTTTCAAGGAATATTTTCCGCGACTTTCATTCGCTGACGCGTTAGTGACGTCACGAGCGTCAAGGCCGAAAACGCGACGCAACAGTACAATATGGAACAACGTCGAGAACGACGGTTGTTCCAGTAACGTTTCATACGTCCGAGCGGATGTTCTGTTTGTCAAGCGCGAGTAGAAAACTTGTGCCTCTCATAGGAATATCCTACTTTGCGTCGCTGAATAAGCGGACATTTCCCCGTGTGAAGTAGATTTAAAATACCGTCAAAATTATACGAAGAAAGAAGTATGAGTATTAGTTCCAGCCTATTATTAAGTCATTGTGAAAGTAGTAAAAAAGGTGTAATAATGCCGAGTTTAGTTTCGAGTAATTGGTAAGTTGAAATGAGGTGAGCGCGTTACTGCGCCATTTTTGTCTTTGCTCTCTCGTGTTAGACGCCATCTTATATATCTTACACATATCGTAATTTCTATGTTCTTTCTTTCCTTTTTATTTTTATTTTTATTTTTATTTTTTTTTTTATTTTTATTTATTTATTTATTTTTCTTTTCTTTTCTTTTCTTCTTTTTTTTTTTCGATATATCTTCTTTTCTATGCACAGTCACGTCTCCTCGTTTCTGCTCTTATACTTTAAGATTCCAATAAGACTAATCTTTCTTGTGAACGAACGATTAAGTGAACTTGACCATATAATTGGACGTTCGCTTAGGGGAAAAGAAAAAAAAACAAACAATAAATAAATAAAGAGTAAAATAATAGTATTCATAATAAAAAGGAAAAAATATATATATATATATTTATGTATATATATATATATATATATGTACGCATAAAATGAAACTCGAGAAAATTCTTATGTTACATGATTACATTTATGTAATTAAGCGATATTACTTTTTCCATCCGAATTTATTGTTTCTAATATTTTTATTGATATCAGAAATGACTCAGAGTAATCTCTGCAACCTCTTTCCGATTAGATTTTTCAAATATTTTTTTTTTATTTTTTCTTGTCTCTCTCTCTCTCTCTCTCTCTCTCTCTCTCTCTTTATCTATTTATCTCTTACTACCTGAAAGTTGGGGATTTTTCTTTCTTTCTTTCTTTCTTTCTTTCTTTATATAATAAAAAAGTATACCAGTGAAATATAAGATAAAATATAAGATAATCGTTTATTCTGCAATACAACATTCTAATTAATTAATTAAACATTACTGAAAACATACTGATAATTATTCTTATCATTCGTCGCGTCGTTCGAAACGAATTTTAATGGGTTGGAGAGGGGAAAAAGAGTAGTATGAGTTATCATGGAAATGTACGAATGTTTCTAGAAAAGCATGATTCCATTTTTTTTTTTTTGTTACACATAACTTTGAAAAACTTTCTTAATAGGAATATACAATTATAAAATCGTTTCCTTTGTCTTATCGTATCTCATAAATTTGTCATCAATTTCGTCGATATATGGGACATCCTATTATTTATGTTTATAAATTCGATCAAGCATGAAGATCGGATCGAAAAAAAAAATTAAAGAGAGAGAAAACAATTTTAAATGTCGGATAAATTTCATTCGTTGAATTTTATCGAATTACTGCCATGTTTATTGTGTATGTCTCTTTGTATGTATACATTACATACGTTTATATGCGTGACACTGAAAGAAAGTTAGTCTTCATCGGTTTCCTATAAATCCTATTATTTTATTTAAGAATATTATGTCATATGATTCCTACTAATAATAATAATATTAATAATAATAATAATAATAATAATAATAATAATAATAATAATAATAATAATAATAATAATAATAATACGCGAAATGTATTATGTGTGCGCGTGCGCGCGTGCACGCGTGTTTGTAATACGTATAACCTGTTAATTGTTTATATGGACTTCCGCCTTTAATATTATCTAACAGTCATCGTACAAAAAATTAATATAAAGCACTATCTCAAAAATGTTGAATAAAAGAAGTTCATCGTATGGCTTAGAACAAAGAAATTAATCGAGTTTATTATGACGAAGTAAAAGTAGGTCAATTTTTTTTAATTATATATATATATTGTATATTATATTTTTTATTATATATATATATGTGTGTGTGTTTGTGTGTGTGTGTGTATATGATAAAAATATAAATCTATAATAATATATAAATTTAAAATCTAAATATATAAATGTCAATATCAAAAGAAAAAAAAAAAAAATTGTAAGTGCCCGTGTGACCCTATTTTATATATAATATATATGATCGTATTATGTGTATATATATATAAATTATATACACATGCACGCAATTGGTTACACGTAATTGGTTACTAGAAAAATATTGACCTT